GACTCGGATTTCCGGATTTTGCTCCCAGCGGGCCCCAGCATATTGAGTTGTTTGAAAACCAAGCGGGGGCGGGGGCTCCGTGTAGCTCAGTGCCACCAGCGCCTACCTGGCAACTGCAAGAACCTGAGTTCGATTCCTGGTACCAAAAAAAAAAAAAAGAAAGAAACAGTGAATCAGAAAATATAATGTGAATGAGAAATCAACTTATACTTGGCTGGGGATATAGCTCAGTGGCCTAAGCACCTTCCTGGCAAGTACAAGGTCCTGAGTCCAGTTCCCAGAACCAAAAAAGAAAAAAAAAAAAAACAAACAACCCAACCCACTCTTGCTGGCCTGAGGTTTCTGGATGCATGCTTGGAGGGTTGCTGTCCGAATCCGCGGAGAGGACGCTGCAGTGGCTGTTGTCAAACACTTCTTGTCTCTAGGCTGGCCTGCCAGAAGTGACCTCCGCACATTTTGCTGGCGCCCGGCTGCTGTTAGTGGTGAACCAGAAAGTGTACGTGTACGATTACACAACTGGTGCCTGGAACACATCCATGGGTACGTGCACAGTGAGATCCAAAAGTACAGTGCTTATTTAAATTTTAAAAATGTATTACAGCCAGCAGTGGTGTGTATACCTGTAATCCCAGCCCTCGGGAGGCTGAGGCAGGAGGACTGTCATGAGTTTGAGGCCAGCCTGGGGTATATAACAAGACCATGTCTCAAAAAACAAATATAAAATCCTTCTCTGTCACTTTAAAAACACTCATCCCATCATCCTTGCCACTTTCTCCAGTAGCTCTGGAGTCCTCTTTTCTCAGGATCTTACTTGCGTTATCCTGGCTACCTTGATGTCCTGAATGGATTCAAAACATTTTCCTTTCATGTCTGTGTGTGTGTGTGTGTGTGTGTGTGTGTGTGTGCGCGCGCGCGCGCGCATTTAACATTTGGGCAAGACTGAGAAATCACATGCTGTCAGGTCTAGTGAATAAGGTGAACTACCTCTCCGTTGAAGGCATTTAGCAGCAGCATTCACCATATTTTAAAGATCAAATCTCATAAAGACACTGGTGAAAGCGGCTTTCCAGAACTGCTTCAGAAAGTGATGAGAACAGTGGGATAACTGTGTTTGAAGTGGGGGGCAGGATTTGAAGGGGATTGTGACAATGTGTCTTTCACTGTCATAAAAAATTTAAATTTAAACATTGTGTATTTTGATCAACCCTTGTATATTTTGTGTTTTTTGACTTTGAGTTTAGCCAGTATCCAAGAAGAGGTTATTGATTTTGGAAGTATAATTGATACTCCCTACTTAGGTTTCAGGCCCTGGATATTACTTTGCCCTTTAAAATACAAGTGCAAATTGCCCCAAAACCTGTTGAATAGGAGAAACACTTAGGGGCTTTGTCTGGGATTGTAGCTATGAGACACAAAAGCCTGCTTGGAGCCAGGTGTAATGGTGAACAACTGTAACCCCAGCACTTGAGAGGCTGAGGCAGGAGGATCACCACAAGTTAAAGGCTAGCCTATGCTACATAGTGAATTCAAGGCCAGCCTGAACTACATAGTGAGACCTTGTCTCAAACAGACAAACAAACAAATCCCTGCTTGGACAGATTGAAGCAGAGGAGAGACATCAGCAGAGGTTGGGGGGCGCTGAAAGACCAAGTGACATCTAGACATCTGGTGGCCAACTTGGGCGATGGGGACAGAGTCCCACTGCATCCCTTTGGGGACAGGGAAGAGGAGAGAAGGTGAGCTTTAAGAAGTGGGGGGAGGGGCAGAGCATAGTGGCACATGTCCATAATCTCAGCACTCTGGGAGGCTGAGGCAGGAGGATCATAAATTCCTGACCAGTCTAGGCAAGTTGAGGATTTAGCAAGATCCTCTCTCAAAATAAAGAATAAAAAGAGCCAGGGGTGTAGCTCAGTGCAAAAGCCCCAGGTTCAATCCCCAGTATAGCAAAAGAAAAAAAGAGTAAGTGAGGGAGGAGAGGAGGGAGGGGGAAAGTCGAGGGAGGATCTTTTTTTTTCCTGGAGCAGGGAGGCTAGGAGGCAAAGCACAGTGCTCCTCGCCATGGGGAGCTGTCAGCACAGCATCCCCGTGTCCATGTCCCCCTCCCCACCCTGGCAGGACCACCCTGATTCCTGTCTCAGGGGATGTGAGGACTCTAGGGACCTCCTGGGCATGGGACCCAAAGTATGCGCCGTGTCTACATTGTTTCACTGAACACGATGTCCTCAAGGTCTGTCTGGGTCGCAGCAGGTGTCTGAATGTCCATCTTTTTCACAGCTGCATCATACTCGTGTGGAGGGACCACCTCATGTTAATCCATTTATCTATTCCTGGATGCTTGGTTGTTAAA